CTCTGTTTTATTTAGTGACTGAACTACTACTGGCTGTCTTCATGAGTGAACTGGCCAAATTTCTCTATAAGATTAACCCACTCAACAGTATGAAAATAATTCGAATACTCTCGGTCTAGCTCGAGATCCTCTTCAGGCGATGTCTTTACAAAGACAGAGCTGGGCTTTGAATTTACAGCTATCAGACAACAAATTAAACCGTGTTAAAAACCAACATGTTCTCTGGTGCCCCTATCTATCCTATCTCAGGGCTGCATCTTCGATACAACCACATCTCACCATCAGCACCCTACTAAGTTGTAATTTGTCTGGTGACCTCACTCTGGATATCGAACTACAACGATAGCAGGATTACTTTGCTTAACGTTTTAAAATACAGAAATTATCCATTCTGGTTGAAAAATAAGGATGTATGGGGACCTCATAGTAAACGCAGTTTCGCAGCAGACGAAGTCCAGAAGTTGGGTGAGGTCACCAAACAGCAAATTACTATATGGCAACTTGGGTAGGAGGCACGTATACCCACCTTAATTTAAAAAGGAAATAGACAACAAATAAAAATTATAAAAAAATACACTAAAAAAGTATTATAAATAAGGAAAAATTTGAACATTTTTTTGGAAAAGTACAAGTTTTTTTTTTTAATTATATGTATGTAACATGGGGAAGAAGGCAGAAATATACTTCGGGAATGCCAATTAATACCTGTTCAGGGTAGCCTATTGAAATAATCAAGTAACACCTAGGGGTCAATAAATAACAAAAAAAAGGCACAATACCGTGACTGGAACGATACACAAATAACCCGCACATAAAAGAGAAGCTTACGACGACGTTTCGGTCCGACTTGGACCATTTACAAGTCGGACCGAAACGTCGTCGTAAGCTTCTCTCTTTTATGTGCGGGTTATTTGTGTGTACCTAGGGGTGAACTCACACCTAGCCTGAGTGGGCGAGTCTGGAGACGGCTCAAATGTCTGCCTGAACGCCACCACCCACTACGTTCGTGCCTGTAAATTTTACATTATGCATATATATACTGGTATTGGACCAGTGAAGCTAGGTTGGTAAAGCACTGCGTACCTTGTTCCAAGGTTCGTAGGTTCGAGTCTCCTTCATCCAGAGATCAGTGTTTGTGAATATTTCGCCTGTTTTTGCGAATTCCTAGCATTGTTAAAATCTCTAGTAGGCTGATGCATGCAGGGGAGATGAAAAGCTGTACGCCTCCTGCTGGAAAGCTGGCTGCCTTGGATCAACGTCTAGTGTGAGCCAGGCGCCAAGGTATTGGACCAGTGTAGCTAGGATGGTAAAGCACTGTGTACCTTGTTCCAAGGTTCGTAGGTTCGAGTGTCCTTCAGCCAGGATCAGTGTTTGCATATATATATATATAAATATATATATATATATTTTATAAATTTAAAAAAATTTTTTAAAAAGGGGGGGGGAAAAGCCTTCGCCCAAAATTTCTAACCCTTACAGTTTAGCGTCCTCCCAACAGCACAAACAGTCCCACTGGGAAAACGATCATGGAAAAATCGCCAACACAATCTCAATGCTTCGGAAGAAAAAGGTCTCTGGCAGTGAAGCCCATATCAGAGATTTCCTGTTAGTGTCCCAATTCCTCCCTGGGCACCTCTCGACCCACAGGCCATTCGGATTGGTGTTGCTCTTCGCCTAACCCCCCCATCATCACCGAACATAGGTGTATTTGCGCAGGGCGACAGCTGATCAATTCGGACCCATGGTCTCGTGTGTCACACAGCAAAGGAAGTATGCCAGTCATGAGGAGTCAATGACAATAAAGAAGAAGCCTCGCACAGCCCGTTGCCCTTAAAGGGAACCCAAGTAAGAGTCAAGTAAAAGCGTACGGTAAAACAATGCTACCCTGAAATACCGTGAAGCAGATTGCCGAACTACACCGGCGACATTGAGAGACACCTACGCAACTTTGTGAGGGGTGGAGCTCCAAGTCGGCACCGGAGACCGAAGATTCCCTTTAATATGAGGCTTCCTTTGCTATATTATTCCATAGGGTCGAGACCTTGGAGCATGGGGCAAGTGGCTCAAAGTTCCTCAACCCCGCACCAACGTCGTCCTGAAACCAGGGCGCCTTTCCTCTTATACTGATGGACCAGTGTTGCGTTCGAAGGCAATGCGTACATTTGCAAGGCGCAGGCGGTTTTCGAAGTATTCGGTTTAGCATTGCCTATTTTGTTTTACTTTGATCATATTTTTGAAAATGTCTGTGATGTATGTTGCGGAAATAAAATATTATCTAAAAGGGGTGCTTGGGATTCAAACAGCTTCAGTGGAACGGGGTTCCATGAAGGCAAGTGTATTTTGTTAAGAGGGTGGTCCCCATGCCAGTTCTAGGGTTGGTACCTTCCTATAGATCATGTTTCATATATATATATATATATATATATATATATATATATATATATAAAATAATATAATAATTATATATATATATAGTGGTGTGGGTTGGCACGGACCATTCGGCACATTCTGAGAAGCTGCGGCCGGTGACCCCTCAAGGAAGGTTCCTTGATGTTGGTGAGGGGCTCTTGATTTAGGGAATTGGATCTGTGCTACATTTCCCCGAATTAAGCCTGAATGCCTTCCACATCCCCCCCCCAGGCGCTGTATAATCCTGCGGGTTTAGCGCTTCCCCTTGATTATAATAATAATGCGGCCGGTGACACACCAGCACTACGCTACTCTGAGAAAAGTCCCCCTGCTTTAGTTGCTCCCTTGTAACATTGCATAGCTCCTGATGACACACTGAGAAGTGTGAAAGTACTTGAGCTAAAGATTTCCACTCCCGTGGCTTGTCTTGTTTTTTTAATATATATATATATATATATAATATATAATATATATTATATATATATATATATTATATATTAATTACCATGATTCGCACTATCACTGTCTTTGCAGAGGCGTGCAAGTACGACAGCTTAGTGTCACTCTAAACAGCAAATATCCCAAACCCCTCCTTTAAAGTGCATGCATTGTGCCCACCTCCAGGACTGAAGTCCGGCTAACCGGTTTCTCTGAATCCTTTCACAAAATATTACTCTGCTCACACTCCAACAGCTCGTGAAGTTCCAAAAACCACTCCTATCTAACATGCTCATACATGCCTGCTGTATGTCCAAGCGCCTTCCACACAAATTATAATATTATAATAATGTGGGAGCGCTAAACCCTTAGGATTATACAACGCATGTGGGGGGGGGAGGGATGGAAGGTATTCAGGCTCAATTCAGGGAACTGGAGCACAGATCCAATTCCCTAGATCAAGAGCCCCTCACCAACGTCAAGGAACCTCCCTTGAGGGGCTTCCACACAAAAGCCTCTTTTACCGCCTCCATTCTTTCCTAGGACGACCCCTACCCCTCCTTCCCTCCAGTACAGATTTATACACTCTCCAAGTCATCCTGTTGGGCTCCTTCCTCTCTAAATGACCAAACTACTCTGGTCGTTTCCCATCGAGGCAGGGTGATCCGAAAAAGAATCAAACACTTTCACCACCATCATTCACACTATCACTGGCTTGATTATAGGCGCGCAGATACGGCAGTATGTATGTATGTATATAATTATTGTGAACGGCTCTGACCAGTGCTTCTTTATTGGTCACTCACAGGATGAGTGATACTGTCCAATACTATATGGTAGTATGTTCACTAACAGGATGAGTGGTAATGCATAATACTGTCTTTATGTCAATATGTTCATTCACAGGATGAGTAGAGTACTGCATAACACTCTTTATGGTAGTATGTTCACTCGCAGGATGAGTACAGTACTGCATAATACTATTTTTATGACGGTATGTTCACTCACAGGATAAGTGGCACTGCCCAATACTGCCTTTATGGAGGTATGTTAACTCACAGGATGAGCGATGCTGCCTAATACTGTCTTAGTGGCAGTTTACCTGGAGAGAGTTCCGGGGGTCAACGCCCCCGCGGCCCGGTCTGTGACCGGGCCGTGGAATACCTGGAGGAGTATACCTGGAGGGTATTCCGGGGGCTAACGCCCCCGCGGCTCGGTTCATGACCAGGCCTCGCTGCGGATGAGGGCCTGATCATCCAGGCTGTTACTGCTGGCCGCATACAAACCGACGTACGAACCACTGCCTTGATGGTGGTATGTTAACTCACAGGATGTGTGATGCTGCATAATATTGTCTTATCATTAAACTCACTCAAAGGATGACTGTCAATGGCCAATACTAATACCCTCAGGTTCTACAACTGAGTGACAAAGTTTGCGTTAAAGGTTATTTACAAAACAAGAAAATATATAGATACGAAGCTGACACACGATATATGGTTGAAGTCAAAAATACATTGATATGTGGGCAAGATATTAAAAAAAATTCCTATGTTTTTCAGTGCCTCAAAAATGCTCACACTCAATGATTGAGATTAGCAACGCTTTGTTTACGTGTTCGCCCATGAAAAATGTAAACGCGGCATGTTAAACCGCCCATTCGGTTGCCAACTTTTCAGGGGGAAAGGACGCCATCTTCTATGAAGGTCTCAAGGCTGCCAACCTGACCGAGGGAGGGCCCTCCCTCTGGGGGAGACTCCACCGCCCACTCAAAACTTTTGCAGAACCCTCCTTGTCACGAACTTCCAAGCAAACTACTCGGTATACATATTGCAAGTCCAGCGTTTAGTATTTGTTTAGTTTACCATGGTTATTTTGGTTAGGTTTGATTTCTTTACTAGAAATTGAAACTTTGCTTTGATTAATTAATATTTTGAATTTCGTCATTTTTTTTGGGGGGACACCAAAATTTGAGTAGTTTCGCCTATTTTTAAATTACAGAAAACACCGAACTTCAACAAACTTAGATAGCTGAGGGAAAGTAAATTAAGCAAATGATTCACTGGAAAAAAAATTGTATTCTATGGGCAATTTTAACACATCATTTTCTAAAAAAAAAAATGTTTTAAGATACAATATGCGTATTGTCTTACCTTCGCTAGAGACGTTTCACAAATAATATTAATATCAAAACAGAGATGAATTTGAGTGGCGAGGGCGCAGTTGTGTCCATGTTGGATAATGTACCCTCAAGTTATCGCTGGTGTGTGGCCATGTCAAGAGAAGGAGCGACGTAGCCTCCTCTGCCCTTCGCTACTCCCGACTGACCCACACTGTCGCCAAGGAGCCCATCCTCCTTCCCTACCCAAGGGTGCCCACTATATCTTTTTTAACAACTTTTACACCATCGACTACAACTTATTCATGGGGGGATTTAACGACATACCTGAATGTTCATCGCTAAGCGTGCTTAAAATTAATTTTGGGACTTTAGAAACTAGGTAGATCGGTTGCTAGTACACAGGTGTGTGAGGCTGAGTGGTATATGGCAGCTATATGAAGGCGTGTTAGCGTGATGGCGGGCAGTGGCTAGATGTCTGGGTGCCTAGAGTGGAATCAGCACTGGCGGGGTTAGTTAGTCCCCGTGGTCAGCCTTGGCTAGGGGTGCACTAGTGAATTTTCCAGTCTCCCCCATTTCCCCCCTCTGTTTGATCCTCTCTGGTTGGCTTTGCCACGGCGGCTTTATGATCACAGCAACAGTTTCCTTATAGCATGGTGGACGCGTAAGCATGGGTAGTTGTACCGGAGACATGGGGACCATACCTTCCCCATATCTCTCTCTGAGGGGCTTTTGGCTGTAAGTATTAACTTTGTTCGTAGTGGTGATATATAAGAACGTGTATGTTATCCTGTGTGTGAAGGATATGTTGCCTTGATATGGAGGATGTGTTATCCTCATTGTATGTGAAGGATTTGTTGCCCTGTGTGATGGATGTATTCATATGTGTAATTATGTGTGTGAAGAATATATGTGCTATACTCTGTGTGAAGAATGTTATCTTCACTGTGAAGAACATGCATGTTATTCCCAAGTGTATGAAGGGGCTCGTGGCTCACATGGTAGAGTCTTCATTTCATATCTGAAGGATTTGGGTTCGATCCCAGCATAGGTTTAAACTGCACTCAACATATTTCCTTACACTTGCCGAGCCTATTCACCTACCACTAAATAGAAGGGTGTTAGCTGTTGTGTGTCGTATTCTGGGAAAGACGGTCAAGGGACTCCAGTCGGATTTACTTTGTTGTGTTTCTCGAAGTTACTTTACCCTCCGGGTTCATAATCCGAACTAAAATCATCATCAGTGTGTGAAAGATGTGTGTTATCCCTACTGTGCTTATCTTCAGTGTGTGAAGGACATGTTCATTATCTGCAATGTGAAGTTAGGTTAGGTAAGATTCATCAGGAGACAGGACAGGTTAGGTTAAAGTAAGATTTGTCAGAAAACAGGACAGGTTTGGTTAGGTAAGATTCATCAGGAAAGAGACAAGTGTTTCCTGACGCGGGGTTCGGTAATATTATGACCCGCCACTGGAGATTTTGTCATCTGACCGAGGCCTTCCGCTGGCTTACCGGTCAACCCCTTTAAAAATTTATAGTAGGGTCACTAAATATATATCTTGTGTGTGTGAAGGACATGCTCGTTATTTTTCGTGTGTTTGAAGGGCATGCTCGCTATCATCAGTGTGTGAAGGACGCGCTCATTATTTTTAGTGTGTGTGAAGGACATACTCGTTATCTTCATTATTTATGAAGGATAGTTATATTATTTTTAGCGTAAAGGATAATAGGATATTGTTATTAGTAGTATTTGAAGGATGTTATCCTCGGTGGTTTATAAAGGATGCATGTTATTGTCATGATTTTTTGTGATAAAGCTGGATGAAATGGCATTTTTTCTGGATAAAAAAAGTTAACTCATTCCTAGCAGTTAAGTATTTTTTTAGCAGGAATGGATGTACTATATAGGTCTGAGGACTAATTGGAACCTTTCTACCTTGCAGGTGTTTGACAGTGTTATTACTTACCCTCCACACTACGAAATCGGTAAGTATCCAATTTGGCATGTGTGGGCGTGTTTATTTCTGTTTGCGTGGGTTGAGCATAAGCTCCTGGCCCCTTAGGGCAAGATTTTTTTTGTGCTGATTTCGCGGTGTTTGTGTGGGTTAACCTGAGGTTTATGGCTCCTCAGAGGAAGAAATTGTCTTTTTCATGAGTTTGTGCTTAGTTTGCAAGTGTTCGAGCGAGTTGCACTGAGGTTCCTGATCCCTCAGGGCAAGACACTGCACCACATACAAATTGAATCAGATTCACTCAGTGTATTCATTATAAGCGATTAATTATTAGTGGGTGGAGCAAGAAATTGTCTCGTGTTTGTGCTTCGCAGGTTTTGCGTGGGTTAAACTTATACTTCTGGCTCTTGAGAGGAAGAAATTACCGTGTTTTCAAGAATTAACGCGTTCTGCTGAGTCGCCGTGGGTTGATTAAGCTCCTGGCACTTCAGGAAAGAAATTGTCCCGATTTTCATGAGTTTGTACTTGCTTTGCTGAGTGAGTGGAATCAGCAGGTCTTGACCCTTCAAGGCTATATTGTGTTTTTCATTTGTTCTTACCTCGCTGTGCCTGCATGAGATGAGCCTCAGCTCTTGGCCCCTCAAGGCAGGACATTGTTATGTATGCATAGTCTACTATCAATTATTGGGTTTTAATGGACTTACAACTTGGATCAGATTCAGTAATTGGCTTGATTATGAGATTATTTTCCGAGTCTCATCACAGGTGCCTTGGCGCCAGTGAAGTGCTCTTGATCTAAGGAATTGGCGCCACTCTTCCCTTCCTTAATCAAACCCGCTTACTTCCTACTCCCCAGTTGCTGTGTTGCAACCTACGGGTTTAGCTCCTGTGGGTGTTATTACATCATACTGGAAGACAAACTGTTGACATGGAATAATTTCTATAATGAAAGTGTCGGTTAACATCCACACATTAAAAAAAAATATGATATACTGTTCGGCGCAGTATCTCTGAAAATGTTGCAGAGCACAGAACACAGAAGACTACAAACATTTCCATAACAAGATATGCAATTAACTAAAGTTCGTAAAGTTTTACTATATGCATAGTTTGCTGCATCTTGATATTGGTGTCGATGCCTGAATGTTGAAACAGCCTAGGATAGAGATGATGACACCCACTACATGTAAACCCAACACTTTGGACTGAATTTTACTTACTCGCAGGATGTGACCTGCTTAGTAAGTTTACCCTTCAGGACAAGATTTTCAACACTTGCCAAGAGCAATCTGACAGGGTATTTTGTAGCATTACATGTGTTATTATTATTATTATTATTATTATTATTATTATTATTATTATTATTATTATTATTATACATTCATAGGAAGAACACTAAATCCCGAGGCAATCATTTTGGATCCAAGGTAGAATGAGCACTTCGATGAGTTCTGAGTTTTTCTACTTCCAGAGCCCGGCAATGGGCCAGGCTCGTCTGGTGCTTGCCCGATCAACCAGGCTGTTGCTGCTGGTGGCCCGCTGACCCACATTTCCATCACAGCCTTGTTGATCTGGCAGTGAAGAATGACGATACCTGTCCAGTTTCCTCTTGAAGACTAATACATTTGTCCCAGCAGTGTTTATATCTTCTGGTAAGATGTTGAATAGTCTGGGGGCCACGAACGTTGATACAGTGTTACCTGATGTTACAGTGGGGTTATTTGCATCAACGCCCCCGCGGCCTCTTAACAGCCTCCCATGGGGCCGATATATGTTAGCCTGGGCACCAGATACACCACACCGCTGATCCGGGATACTTTAGTAGAGTTATCTTAATGCCGGGATCTATCAATTCCCTAATCTTAGGGGGCTTGAACTGAATTATGGGCGGAACTTTGTTTTTCCAGGTGACCAATGCGTCACCCTATCTTGAATGGAGCTTTTGATGCGCCCAGTTACTTTCCCGCCTAGAGAGAACATTTCTTTGAATTTGGCACCATTCCTTCAAATTCCTTGATTTGATAAGTCTTCTTGGTTAACATACCAATGCTTATCAATTCCCGTGTTGGTTGTGAATTTGTGCAGTTGGATCCTTAATTTGATTGGTTAGTTTGTATGGAGATGTTAAGTAAGCAAGATCAGTTTTACAGAAACAAGTGAATTTGAAAGGATCATCATGGGCTTGCATTCTCGTTTTGACAAGTTCTCATTACCATCCATCCTTTTCTTAGCACTGCGATCGTGGCATTGTTTGTGATCCTGAAAGGAGATCCTCAACATTACTACTCCCAGGTCCCTTACATTATTTTTCCGCTCTATTGTATGGCCGGAGTCAGTAGTATACTCTGTTCTAGTTATTATCTCCTCCAGTTTTCCATAACGGAGTAGTTGGAATTGTCCTCATTGAACATCATATTGTTTACCGTCGCCCACTGGAAAACTTTGTTTATCTTCTTGGAGGTTAACCGCGTCCTCAGCAGATGACAGCCTCATGCAGATCCTAGTATCATCCGCAAAGGATGATACGGTGCTGTGGTGTATATCTCTGTTTATGTCTGATATGAGGATAAGGAATAAGATGGGGCGAGTACTGTGCCTTGTGGAACAGAGTCTTTCACTATTGGCAGCCTCCGATTTAACTCTGTTGACCACTACTCTTTGTGTTCGATTTGTTAGGAAGTTGAAGATCCATCTCCCCACTTTCCCAGTTATTCCTTTAGCACGTATTTTATGGGCTATTACACCATGATCGCATTTGTCAAATGCTTTTGCAAAGTCTGTGTATATTACATCTGCATTCTGATTTTCTTCCAGTGCATCCAAGGCCATGTATAGTGATCCGTAAGTGTGAAGTGGGCAGAGCGTGACCTGCCCTGAACCATGATTTTGCATCATCTGTCAAGCCTCTTACTTTCTTGGGGAACGATTTATTTTAGCAGCTTTGGGACCAGATTACAACCTATCTCTCGCATACGTTCCAAAGAGTATAATGCTCGGAGGACTTCAAACTTTCCCAGTATCTTAGGAGCTTAACTGAATCTATGCGAGCGATGAGGGTTCTTTGTATATTTCCCAGGTCTGTAATTTCACCTATCTTGAACGGAGCTCTTAGAAGACAGCAGTACTCCAGCCTAGAGAGAACAGGTTACTTGAGGTATCACCATTGGTTTGGAATTGCTTGATTTGAAGGCTCTTGGTATCCAACCTATCATTTTCCTTGTGGTTGTGATAGTGACACTGTTGTGATCCTTAATGGTTAGGTTAGGTAGGTAAGAGTCGTTAAGAAAGAAGATAAGTGTTTACAGAAACTGATCCGAATCATTGAAGACCCGCCACTGGAGTTTTCAGTCATTTGACCAAGACCTGTCGCAGGCTTACCGGTCCACCCATTTAAAAATTAATATTAGTTTTTAAGGGATGTGATTCCTGAAGGGAAGATCATCGAACATGATCACTCCCAGATCTCTCACATTAGTATTACGCTCCATTGAGTAATGCGAGTGTTTTATACTCTGCTCCAATCTTCACTTCCTCAATCTTTCCAATCATTGTTAGTATCATTATTAGTACTTTCTAACGGATTTAACAGTTTATCACAAAATCTGTTATTGCTGGTATTTTTTAAAGGATTTAGCAGACAGTTATCACAAGGACTGTCATTCTTTATCTTCTGACTCATCACAGTCTGTCATTGTTAGCACTTTGTAAAGTCTGTCGTTTTTAGTATTTAGTGTTCTAATTTGATAGTATCATCAACACTGACGGATCAGAGACATGGTCACGATTAGCGGACGGAGGATTGAGTCACCAACACCTCTCCTTAAGCTGAATGACGCACACGGCTTGAGCGCTTCATAAAACAGCACCTAACAATGTATTAGTTCTAGTAATCATAAACAGTGCCATTGCCACGCTCAGATCTCGGCTTGCTTGTTGAAAATTAAGTGACAGTAGGGATTTGTGTAAGAGGATAATGCAAAAATATATATAATTTGTTTGATGAGGCTATTATACCTAAGTGTCCGGATAATTATTTTTAATTGAAGAAGATTAATTCAGTGACCACCACATATGATAAAATTATAGCTTGTGGTCAGCGATACGTTTGCTTTACTGCAGTTATTTATGCGTATTTTGCTGGCAGACTTAACTGTTGATGGTAGGTATAATGTTTGTCAGGAAACAGGCCAAGTATTCCCTGACGCGGATCCTAGTCATATGATGACCTGCAGCTGGAGCTTTTGGGCATTGACCGAGGCCTTCAGCTGGCTTACCGGTCCACTCCTTTAAAAATTATAGTTATGATTATAACCATTTCTGACTAACTATTGAGGTAACTGGCTGTGCTATATATGCAAATGACTGGGTACTGACAGGCGAGTGAGAAACTAAGGTTCTGAAAAACAGTAGTATAGTTATACAGTGGTTCTGAGGTCACAAAGGTGTTCAGTCTGTCTTTTTATATTTAGTAATTTATACAGTAGAAGGGGTTACACACACACACACACACACACACACACACACACACACACACACACACACACACACCCACACATATATATATATATATATATATATATATATATATTATAATATATATATTATAATATAATATATATATATATATATATATATATATATAAAGGTAGTAGGTTGGTAGACAGCAACCACCCAGGGAGGTACTACCGTCCTGCCAAGTGAGTGTAAAACGAAAGCCTGTAATTGTTTTAAATGATGGTAGGATTGCTGGTGTCTTTTGTCTGTCTCATAAATATGCAAGAATACAGGTATGTCTTGCTACTTTTACTTACACTTAGGTCACACTACACATACATGTACACGTTTATTTATGCACACTCATCTGAGTTTTCTTTGATTTTATCTTAATAGTTCTTGGTCTTATTACTTTTCCTTTTATATCCATGGGGAAGTGGAATAAGAATCTTTCCTCCGTAAGCCATGCGTGTTGTAAAAGTCAACTAAAATGCCGGGAACAATGGGCTAGTAACCCCTTTTCCTGTAAAAATTACTAA